CTGCTTTAATATTTACGTTAATTAAAAATTCCATTTTTTTTTTTTGGCAATATCCCATAGCTGAGCCAATAAGTTCGGCTTTAGCGCTACCCTTAATGATAAAAATGGTAATTCCAACATTTTTTAAACAATTGATATAAGTGTTGTACCTTTCCTAAATCTGCAGTAATTGGAGCAGTTTTGCAAATTATTTGCCAGTTTACGTCAGTAAAATTTTTTTTCACGGTGTGTCATCAAAGTTGGAGTTCAATTTTTTCAAAGGTAAAAAAGTAATACAAATCATTTTTTTTTTATTAAAAATACATTAGATTTTGGGACAAATTTATTTTCACCGCATGGAACAACTGTTCGAAAAATAAAAAAAATATAAAAACCAACAACTTTCAAGGTATTTCTAACAACAACGGTAGGAACACTAACTTAAAGTAGAGATTTTTGAGAAAATAAAACAATTGACGATATCTCGAAAACTAAAATACTTTTACTAAGGTCATTTTTCTTTATCTGCAAGACCTAAGGCTAACCTATCTTCCATGTCACTCTGACGTGATATTTTTGGGACACCCTGTATAGCAATTAGTATAGAGTTAATGCCAGGCTTTTGGAATGAAGTTGTCGAGAGCGGAGGCGCGCGGGCAATATGTTTGTAAGTTCATTTCACTTTTCAATGTTTATTTACTCTTGTGTGTTTAGCGTAAGCGATTTTAATATTGCGAGTTGAAAATGGATGCCTTTTTAAAATTTTTTTGTGAAAATGGAGGATAATAGTGTTCCTTGTGATGAATTGAAGTGTGTTAAAGTGCTAATCGGAGAGGAAAAGGTAAAATCTTTAAACTTTGTTGAGATAATACACAAGGTCAAGAGTGTATCTAAGACTTGTCAATTATCGCAATTAAAAAACAGTTATTGGTATAATTAAGACGTTCACCAATATTTTACGTGGACGTAATTAAATCTTTCCTTAAGAAAGAGAGACAATTCTATTTAGAATGTAAATAATTTGTTATTTTTTTAATTTTGTACAGTTTGTACTTTGTTCATGTTTTACTTTTGTTCATGTATTGTATTGTATATAAATATCTTTTTCTTTCGCTCAAACAAACCCAAACAGCTTTCTTCAAAGCCACCGAAGCTATGCAATTACTGATATGTAATACAATCTATCTAGGAGTAGTATACCTTCTGTGTGCTATATTCAACACGTCCTTGACAGCACTGAATATGAAACTGAAGAGTGGAGACAGATCAAGATTGGTGTATTTTTATAAAACTGCTAAAAACAACAATCTAAATTTTTATCAATTTATATCTTGGGCTTGCCCTAGTTTGGAGCTCTAGCTTCGCCACTGCTAATGCAAGACTTCATAATGTTGTTTGCAACTAACTCTAATGATAATAAATATATCAAAAGATAATCTTAATAAGACTTATATATCTCATCATAAGTTGAGATTTGAAAGCATTTTATTTTCATCATGAAAAGTAAAGCTCAAAAAAGAGGAGAAATGCTACTACTTCCTACTATTACTCGTGTAGTAAGATTTTTTTGAATTATTGCCATATTCCACATGGCAGCATCTTGGTATTCAGCATAATGTTTCAAACAGTATGTAATCATAAGATAAATATCACAAATATACTTAATAATTCTCTAAAAATTATTTTCTACTTATTATGAGTAATTGGTACAGTGCAAGGCTTGTATGACTGAAAAATGATGGGTGATAAAGGTTAGAGGTATGACATCACATTTTATTTTTTGGTACTGAAAAATAACAGCAGTGTTAATTTTTCACTACCTAATTATCAATTTTGAGGATTCTTCTTCTTGTGGTTCACAATTACCTTAGTTTTCAATTCGTTTTTAGAATTTTTTAATGGTCATTGTCAAAACAACAAATACTTTTGGTTACACAAACAGATATATTTTGGTTACCAATATAATTTCCCTAATGTAAAGGTGAAATCTACCTATAAAAAATAACAGTATCAATACAGTGGATTTCATTAATAACGCCCTCGGTTGTAACGACCTTTTGGTTATAGCGACGTCAAACTTACGTCCCTTGAATTTAAAGCATACTTTCATAAGAAATTCATTTGGTAATAGCGACTTCGGTTATAGCGTCAATTTCGGGTATAGCGACTTGTTTTTATGAACCATTTATGACCGATTCCTAGAAATCCCTTGCGGATATTGCGACTGAGTCGGCAAAGGTACAAAGACTCATTCATAAAACTATTAAGCTTTCTAATCCTTTGTGTACATTCACAGATGGTCAAACTAATGTTTTGTTTGTATGTAGGACTAAGTAGCATGTTTACGAAGTTAAACTTGTGAATCAGTTACATAGAAATTTCAGTGAGTGAACAGTGTTTCTTAAACTTGTGAATATGGCTCCTAGACGTACATTTACTGTTAAAGAAAAAGTGGACATCATTTCGAGACTGCAAAATGGAGAAAACAATGTTGATCTGTGTAAACAATTTGGAGTTTCACATTCTACAATATCAACAATGTGGTAAAACCGCGCTAAAATTATGGAGTGTTTTGAATCAAAATCCCTGAAAATAAAGAAAAATCGTAATCCAACTCATCAAGATATTGAAAATGCTCTCCTAGTGTGGTTTAAAGCTCAGAGAAGCCAAAATGTACCCATAAGCGGTCCGCTTTTGCAAGAGAAAGCTAATCATTTTGCCAGACAGCTTGGGAAAACAAACTTTGTATGTTCAGAAAGCTGGATTTACAGATTTAGACAACGTCATAATATAGTGGTCGGTAAAGTTTGTGGAGAAGCCGCCAGCGTGTCGCAAAATGACTGTGACAATTGGTTGATAACAGTTTTACCAAAATTAACTGAAGGGTATACCGACAGTCAAATATGGAATGCCGATGAGACGGGTTTATTTTTTAAATTGACACCAGATAGAACGCTGAAATTCAAAGGAGAAAAGTGTGCTGGCGGCAAACTATCAAAAGATAGAATAACCCTGCTTATTGCTACAAGTATGGCAGGCGAAAAACGAAAATTGCTGGTTATAGGGAAGGCGAAAAAACCAAGGTGTTTCAAGAATGTAAAAACTTTGCCAGTTGATTACGAAGCCAACAAAAAAGCGTGGATGACATTGGAGATTTTTGAAAAAGTTTTACGGAAATGGGACTCTCAGCTAAAGAGGAAACATAAAGAAGATCATTTTATTTATTGACAATTGTCCAGCTCACCCACAAATTCAAAATTTGACTAACATCAAACTGGCATTCTTACCACCAAACACCACATCAGTTATTCAGCCTATTGATCAAGGTATAATTAAGACTCTTAAAAGCCATTATCGAAAGCTTCTAGTGGAGAAAATGGTAAACGACATTGAAAAAAGTACTACCCAATTTGCCTTCAATCTTCTGGATGCCATTGAAATGATTATGAAATGATAATTGATTCAGTCGTAACCGAAATTCACTGTATTTTATACCGGTCGCTTAACCTCATACATTAATCGCAATCAAGCCCTGGTACAGTCTCAACAAAAAAATTTTTAATAGTTCATCTTTGTTAGTGGATGCACAATTTTTACTTTGAAAGGGGTTTGCACGCTTTGAAGCAAGAGAGGTTGGGTTTTACCTTGACGAGGCTATGCTACCTGTTCTCATAAAATTTTCAAATCAAATAATTTATTTGTAAAACATAGGTAAAAAGTTACAAACTTGGTGGAAAAGGTATGATAAGTAACACTATGTTTCGCCTACAAAGGCATACAAATATTTGTTTATCACTATCACCAGGCAATATGAAAATTAATTTTTAATAAAATAACAATTTCAATTATAATCAGTATGTTTAGAAATAACATTAATTATTATCTTAATTATCAATTACATAAATATAAACATATAATAAATAAATCTTCCATTAATTATTGCAGGTACTAAAAATTTGTTATATTATTTGGTTTGTAATTAATGGCATGGTCTATATAATTCATTTAACATTACTCAATCATATTATATTAACCTGTGATAACTTTTATACTTTAGGTCAAATATTTTTATAGGTTCATTTCCTAGGTCTCCCAGAGGGTACACATTGTAGCCGGAGTCCAGTACAAAAATAAAATGTCTCCTTTATTTTTGGTACAACCATAGACAGATCAACGCAGGTTACCAGCAGCCTGGAGAGGAGTAGCTAGTGCTTTCCCCTAATACACAACTGTCTGACATTTTTTATGGGGGGAAATCTACACACACAATTAGAATTGTTTATCTTACACATAACAATTAAAACAATAGACTAACAATTTCACACACATACACAGAATTTGTGTCACAGATACATTATAGCAGTATCGCTTGGTGACAGGTGACTGATCCGCATATTGTATGTGTTACAACATAAGCCTGTCGCTGAATGAAACGTGGAGGGCATAGCTGCGTATATCGTATCAGTAGGCTAGCCTGCTTGTAGCATGCCAATCAGCATGTGCAAACAATACGCACATCCACCCCGCAATCCGCTTGCTACCCCATGATACCTTATTTTTGACTTATACGCAGTAATGGTCACTGCTAGACTTTTGTGCCACTTTTTATAATAAACAATAGCTGTGTTGGTAAACAAATCCGCCATAACACGGCCATTATTATTGTAATTTTTAAGTTTAAAAAGAAGTAAATAGTATAAAGTAATAATATGGTTTAAAATTACTTATATATGAAAGGTAACGCAATTTTTTTGTTAATTTTTTGTGGCAGGTATCATTTTGCATGAAACTGAACAATTTGGCATTTTGTAGGCATTGATTCAGCCGCACAACTAAATTTAGTCTAATGAGCAACGCGGCTGCAACTAGTATTATTGTATACATAGGACAATGTGAACCTATACTTTGAGAGAGAGAGGACTGGTGGCCCATGTTACTCTATGCATATAACTAATATGGCTTATATTCAAAGAGGTAATCATTTTCAATAAATGTACAATATAAGTAAGGATAATACATACCAGCACCACAATACTCCATAACTAACCATAATTGATCATCTTTACCAGAAGGGGTCTTTTTAATAAATGCTCCATAGTAAGTGGCAATGTTACGGTGGTTAGAGTATTTTTTTAGGACATTTATCTCAAGCTTTATCTCTTCCTCTTCATCTTGTGTGACATCCATAACTTTAATAGCAGCAAGTTGACCTGTCTTTGTGTGGCGGCCCTTAAAATATTATAAATTTAATTTTTACATCATCCTAAAAATATTTGGAAAACAAAAACTAAGTATTCAAATTTGTTTATATATAATTATAATGAAAATTTAAAATATTTTTGTATTTAAAAAAAATGCTAAATTTCAAACTAAGAATTTTAATAGGTAGCAACAGAATGAACTTTCCTTTCACAAATGAGTTGATAGATGTTAATTCTCTTCATTAACTTTAATAGTCTATCTGACTTATTGAGTTGTGTGACTTACTTGAAAGGTCAAACAATTACAGCAATAGTTTATTTGATAATGAAATAGAAGAAATAAAAAAGTATCACTGTTGCTTTAAATTGATAATATAAAGTAGATAGTGTGAATATTAAATATAGTCTTAGTTGTTTGCTTGTACTTAAATTACCTTGTACACCTGGCCATAGGTGCCATTTCCCACAACTTCAATAAGTTCGAAGATACCAGCTGGGTCCTAGAATCAGATACAAAAGATGGATAAATAGGGAAAATTCAAAAGCTAATTATAATCCTCAATACAGAGCCTTCAGTATGATTCACGCCCTGCGAGATCATTGCCCTTTGTAAAGAGTTATTAGAAAATGAAAAGGTTGTGTTTTGACATTACAGAATAATTTCATTTAACAAATATTTAAAAATTACCTTTAGTGCACCGAGGTCAATGTCGTCTAATGAACAATTTACAGACGGTGCCAGTTGATGCGCCATTTTGAGTATATTGTCACACACGAAGACAAAGCACGAGAAACTCACATCAATATAAAAAGTGTATAAAATCTCCTAAATTATTATATTGGCAATTAGGTTAATAATATTTAGTCATTAAACGATTAAATAATTTATAAAACACATTGTTTATTATTAATATTACAGTAAATTACAGATACACAATCTATATGCCGCACACACACCCGGCGGGGATACCACTAAAAAAAAACAAATAATCACAGACAGTGGTAAATCTCTAGTGTATATACAGTAATCTATGGTGGTAGTATAGTACTATAAACAACGAAATTAAAATTATACTTATACAACCAAAGATAAAACATAGGTACCTATATATTCTTTGGTGATTATCTCTTTCAAATAGATAAGGAATATATACACAGGCTGCACTAAAAGTATTGGGAATGGAATATTTCATTCCCAATACTTCCACTGTTCCTGTCATATTAAAATCTTTTTAATTGAAAACTCCTTGGTTTTAAAAATCGAATACCATTTATTTATTCAAAAAAAGATTCTCGGTCTTGTCACAAGGTTTTGTCAAACTTGTTAAGTCGTTGAGAAAATGAAATTGACTCGAGAAAATTCAAGAGCGATGATTTATTATGACTTTCGAAGTGGTTTAACACAAAAACAGTGTGTTGACCGGATGATTTCTGCATTTGGTGATTAAGCCCATTCAAAACTACAATTTATCGCTGGATTGCTGAATTTCAACGTGGACGTGTCAAGCTCAGTGATGATCCCCGTCAAGGTCGTCCAAAAACTGCAGTCACCCAAGAAAACGTTGATGCTGTGCGTAAGCTGATTGTAGAAGATCGACATGTGACATACCGAGAAATTCAGGCAACTTTAGACATTGGCATGAGTCAAATACAAATAATCTTGCATGAACAATTAGGTGTAAAAAAGTTATTTTCCCGATGGATACCGCATTCGCTCTGTGAAGAGCAAAAAGGGGCTCGCGTTACTTGGTGCGCCAGAACTCTCGAAATAATCCACGCAAGATCCTCAAGTGCTGTATACAATATCGTATCAGATGACGAATCCTGGATATATGCGTACGAACCCGAAACAATAAACCAGTCACGAGTTTGGGTGTTCGAAAATGAGTTAAAGCCAACAAAGATTGTTCGTTCACGGAGTGTTGCAAAAAAAAAAATGGTGGCCACGTTTTTCTCGAAAACCGGCCATGTTACGACTATTCCTCTTGAGAGACAAAGAACGGTTAATGCAGAATGGAATGCTAGCATTTGTTTGCCACAGGTTGTTTCTGAACTCCGTAAAGAGAACTGCAACCGCCGCATCATCCTCCATCACGACAATGCAAGTTCTCACACCGCACACAGAACAAAAGAGTTTTTTTTAGCAAGAAAACATAGAATTATTAGACCATCCGCCGTACAGCCCCGACCTAAGCCCTAATAATTTCTATACTTTCCCTAAAATAAAGAATTGCGTGGACAGAGATTTTCATCGCCTGAAGAATCTGCTAACGCCTACAAAACGGCCATTTTGGAGACCCCAACTTCCGAATGGAATGGTTGCTTCAATGATTGGTTCCTTCGTATGGAAAAATGCAAATTTCGCGAAGAATACCTCGAAAAGCAATAAATACATTTTTAAATAGTAATGTTGTGTCACTTCCTTCATTCCCGAAATTTTCAGTGCCGCCCTCGTACCTAATAGCACAAAGTATAAAGCTAATCTCTAAGATAGAGTTAATAGGTGACTATTATAAAATAATTATAGATTTATTAATTAGTTTACAACCGTGAAAAAATTAGGTAATTACAATGTATTATTAAATAAATAAAACCCAACCAATATACTTAGAATATATACTGGCGTATAGAGGGTAGAAGACCTAACATCACGAAAATGCGTGAGAAATTTTGTGTGCATGTGTGTCATTGAATGCGTTAGCTAGTTGGCTGACTGCTGATGACACACATGCACACAAAATTTCATAATATAAGTAACATATATTTTAGTTAGTGATGTATATTTTACCTATCAAGACTATCGATAAATGATTGCAGTGCGACTACAATACAGCGACTGGAAGTGCTAAGGGAGCAGTAACAAGTAAAAAAAATATAGTTTATTATACGAAACTGAATAACTTCGAAAGCTAACTGATATTATACTGAACTACTAAAATAATAATAATATTTTTAATAAATTAAAAAGCATTTTACAGGGAATACGCTGAACCTGCCAAAAGGTGTTAGATTTTAATACAAAACGTACAAAATCTCAATAATCTCTAGAGAGGGTGACTCGACCCATAAAGTTAAGCAATTTTCATCCAAGAAAAAGATCAGAAAGTTGTATTTTTCAGCCATGACCCTTGGAGAAAAATGTTTACTGTCTTCTGCAGTTCTTCCTACTTTCATTTTAACATAATGTTAATAAAATATAAAGAAGTAGCTACTCACGTGAAAAATAAAATAGTCGTTATTTACTCCTTGTCTCTGTTTTTTATTTTTATGGAGGGTAGAGGTAAGAAAGACTTTATCATATAGGCTTTGAGTTTTAAACTAAAGGAGGCGGAATCGCAAGACCCTCTGTAAAAGGTACGAGAGTCCAATTCATGCCCGTTATATAAAACTAGTTGCTCCGCGTCATGCGCCATACTGCAAGTGATCGTGCCAGTAAATCGAGCTCCGACAAAATGCCGAATTGCAGTTTATTTATATGCAAAAAACAATCCAAAACATCAAATATACAAAAGGACAACGTGACTTTTCATCTGTGAGTATTTTTAACATAATATTAAAGTAATATTATCATTAATATAATGGCCGTGTAGTGGCGGTTGAGAATATCCACTACCCCATATCTTCCCGTGGGTGTCGTAAGAGGCGACAGAGGGAGACAGACAGGAGATGGGCAGCAGCATCTTCCTAATAACAACACTAATATAATAAAAAACTACTGTTGCCAAGCCGCTCGCCAAGCGTGGCAACTATGGCAAATATCCCCCCATGAGTAACGACGCAAACAAACGGCCCCCAGTCACCGGTGGCCCCGCTATTCCTGGCTACGGTGGCGACCATGGTAACGGCGGGGCAGGGGATGCTAAGAATCTCCGGTGGAGGTTCGGTTGCCACCTACGACGCGTCGACCTGGCAACATATAACGCACGCACTCTGAGGACTGACGAGAAGATACTGGAGCTGTAACAAGAGTTAGACAAGTTACCCTGGCATATTATAGGATTATCAGAGGTCCGAAGAGAGGGGGAGGATACGGGGTCGCGTACCTGATACTCACAATCACCAAACGGTTCTCGCTGAAGGTCATACAGGTTTACGCACCAACGTTGGCACATCCCGATGAGGAGGTGGAGGAAATGTATAAGGATATTTCCAGAGCCATGCATTCCTCCAAAACCCACTACACGGTGTTGATGGGAGACTTCAATGCAAAACTAGGCACAAGAGAAAGCGGTGAGCTGAAGGTAGGGAAATTTGGAGTAGGGCAATGGAACCGTAGGGGCCAGAAGCTGGCCGACTTTATGGAGAAAGAGGGACTCCTTATGATGAACTCTTTCTTCGAGAAGCGGCCCCAGAGGAAGGGGACCTGGTCGAGACCCGACGGTTCAACAAAAAATGAGATTGACTTCATTATGACGACCAGACGCCAACTGTTCAGTGATGTATCAGTGATCGCAAGGGTGAAAACTGGCAGCGATCACCAAATGGTTAGAGGCACATTGAACCTAAATGTTAAGTTGGAGAGGTCTCGTCTAATGAAGTCAACGCTCCGTCCCCCTCGTGCTCTAATCCAGAATCCCGAAACCTTTCAGCTCGAGTTACGTAACCGTTTTCAGTACCTAGAAGATTGCAATGCAGTGGACGATATGAATGACAAGCTCGTGGAAACTGTTTATGCCGTCGGAGCTAAGTTCTGCAAGACTGGCCGCAGAAGAACACAAAAGCTCTCCGATCACACTCTTAGCCTCATGGATGTTAGACGGGAGATGAGGCTGCAATCGTCAACAGATTTGACAGCATGCAGGCAACTGAACAGACAGATCTCCAAATGCATGCGGCGAAACTTGCGCAACTTCAATACTGCTCGTATTGAAGAAGCGATCGAGCGGAACCAGGGCTCCGAAGTCTTTGCCAGAGATCTATCTGCCAGTAAGAGCCAACTGTCAAAGCTGAAGACTGAGTGTGGTAGCATCGTTTCCGGGACAACTGAGATTCTGAGTGAGATTGAGAGTGTTCTATGGGCAGCTGTACACATCATCGTTGGAGCCACACGCAAGTGTGAGTAACGATCCAAGAGCAAGTCTTATCCAACACTATTCCGATGATATCCCGGACGTCAGTCTAAGCGAGATTAGAATGGCTCTCCAGCACCTTAAAACGGCAATTCCTCGGGCGAGGATGGAATTACAGCGGAGCTTCTGAAAGCGGGTGGAAAACCGGTACTTGAAGTCCTTCAGAGGCTATTTAATTCCGTACTTCATGGTGACACTACTCCAGAGGCGTGGAGCAGAAGTGCGGTGGTCTTGTTCTTCAAGAAAGGTGACAACACCCTCTTGAAGGTGACAACACCCTCTTGAAGAACTACAGACCGATATCCCTTCTGAGCCGCGTCTACGTGCTGTTTTCGAGAGTCATTATGAATCGTCTCGAACGCAGACTCGACGACTTCCAGCCTCCCGAACAAGCCGGTTTCCGAAAAGGCTTTAGTACCATGGACCACATACATACCCTTCGGCAAATTTTACAGAAGTCCGAAGAGTACAATCTGTCACTTTGCCTGGCGTACGTGGACTGTAAGAAAGCCTTTGATTCCGTCGAAATTTGGGCAGTGCTACAGTCTCTTCAGCGGTGCCAAGTTAACTGTCGGTATATCTAAGTGCTGAAGTGTTTGTACAGTAGGGCTACGATGGCTATCCGAGTACAGAACCAGTGTACGAAACCTATCCAACTGCAGATAGGTGTAAGACAGGGTGACGT